AATGAGCTAAGCATCTAAGAGCCCGTAGAAAACTACGGATGGAAATGGTGCTAAGACCTTCCTTTTCCATAATCTACCCCCTTTCACACAGAAAACTCTCGAAAGGTCTTTTTCTGTTCTTTTCAACCTTTCCTTTGTTGGATAAAATAAAAGTCGATGGCGACTCTTGCTTACCACAATATTTGCGAATACAAACACAAAACCAGTATAACAGTCGGTTCTGCCACTGTATCGCAAGTACTAGTTTGACACTTGTATCCATAAGAGTATCAACTGGTTTTGCATTTAAAAACCTTGTTTCTTCCAAAATATCCATAGCGTATTTCCGCTGGGAAATCACCAAGCCATCTTTGGATTGGGCCACCTCAATTCCCAAGAAGTAGCGAAGTTTACCAAGATCTTTTGTCTAAAATTGATTCGAGAGATATTATTTTAACTGGAGTATTCCTTGTTGATCACTACCAGTTATGAAAATATCACCTACATATACAATAAGATAAATACACCCTTGAGCTGAGTGGAAATAAAATACATAATGGTCAACTTCACTACGGACCATATCAAACTATTGTACTACAGTGTTGAATCTGCCAAACCAAGCTCTCAGAGATTTCTTAAGACCATAAAAATATTTATGTAGCCTACAAACCATATCCGAAGACTCCCCCTGAGCAACAAACCCAGGTGGTTACTCCATATATACTTCCTCTTCAAGATCACCGTGTAAAAAGGCATTTTTGATGTCAAGTTGATGAATATGCCAATATCAAATGGCTACAATGGCTAGAAGGAGTCTAACAGGATCCATCTTGGCTATATGCGAGAAGGTGTCACTATAATCAAACCCAAAAATATGAGTGTATCCTTTGGCTATCAAGCGAGCTTTAAAATGATAAATCTTACCATTTGGTCCAACCTTTACTGTATAAATCCAACGACAACCTATTAAAGATTTCCCAGGGGGTATAGGAACCAGGTATGGTTGTAGAGTGTGTGAATAGCAATGATAACCCTTTTGGGATCAATGATAATCAAGAAAGACACACTTTAGTGATCGGACTGATAGTTTATCAAGACCAAGAGAGAGATTATGCACAAAACACGTAGACCCAGAGACTCGAGGAGGAATTTGGCGAAGAGAATAGTTTGGAAACAATATTGAATGAGGGATTTTATTATTAAGGAAAAATAAGGGCATGCGATTTTTGAGGTAACATGCCATGAGCACAACATCCCCCCAAAACCGAAGAGGGACATTACCATGGAGAAGTAGGGTCCGATTGGTTTCTACGAGATGTCGATTTTTGCTTCGACTACCCTATTTTGTTGAGGTGTATAAGGGCAAGATGTTTGGTGTAGAATACCATTGGATGACATAAAATTTTGAACTTATTGGGATAAATACTCACGTGCATTGTCACTTCTTAAGGTACGAATAGAAACACCAAACTGAGTTTTTATTTCTTTATAAAAATTTTCAAAAAAATAAAATAATTCTGATCTATTTTTCATTAAAAATAACCACGTGCAACGTGAAAAATCATCAATAAAGGTGACAAAGTACCTAGAATCAAGAGTGGAGACAGTACGTGAGGGACCCTAAACATCGGAGTAAACTAAAGCAAAAGGGGACGAAGCTCATTTATTGACTTGATTAGGAAATTAACCATGAGTGTGTTTTCCTAACTGACATGACTCACAATGTAAATTATATATATTTGATAAACTTGGCACTAACTTCTGTAGTTTAGGAAGACTAGGATAACCTAATTGAGCACGGGTAGTGAGTGGAGAGTCTTTGGCTGAGCATGTATGAGATGGTACTGACAGGTAATAAAGGCCTTGAGACTCACATTCGACGCCAATCGTCCGTCCCGAACTCTGATCCTGCAGAGTGACATTACTATTAGTGAAAGTGACAATACAATCAAGAGAACGACTTAAACAACTGACTGAAAGTAAATTAAAGAGACAATTAGGTACATAAAGAACATAAGTAATAGAGAGAGAAAATATTTTTATTATCAGTAAAATGATTAGACACACCAGAATCAAGGACCCGAGGTCTAAGAGAAGATGATTGAGAGAGGCAAACAAATGAATTACAAGTATGTATAACCGAAGCAGTAGAATCTGAGTTCTAATAATTCTGATACCACCTGAGGAAATCATCGTAGTTTGGCATAATATTCTAAGGAGTGGCCATGAGTATCAGATCTAGAACCGTAGGAGGGAGGCAATTTCCTGAGAATTTTTTTTTCGTGAACAGTAGCGATGCATGGAAAAGTAGCGGCGGGGTTCACCAATTTTTTTTTTTTGTGAATAGTAGCGTCAACAATGAACAGTGGCAGCGGTGGTCGGCGGGAAATTTTTTTTAAAAGGTGAGGTAAACCAGAATAATGACACGGTTTGCATAAGGAAATTTCTCATCAGAAGACATTGGATCAACAAGGTAGCGTACAATGAAGATTTGTCTCTTAGTAGGCTCTGGATACCATGTTAAAATACAAGAGACTAAGAGACATTTTAATAAACCGTGTGTTGAATAGCATATTCAAAAATGATATATATAGAGAGAATTTTAGATCAACAGTATTAATTACATACTAAATATATACTGATCATATCCTAGAATATAGGAGAGAATATTCTATACTGGTCCTATCATAGAATTAACAAGGGAATATTCTAGGAATATTCTAGAGAGTATTCTTATTCTATATACAAATATCAACAGTTCTCAAATTCCTTCCCATGGTCACTTCTAATTCTAACAATACCATAATCCTTCTCTCTTTAGATCCTTTGACACAATTCTTTAAGGACTTCAAACACTTCAGGTTTCTCTTTGATGAAGCTCACCCAGGTAAACCTCGAGAAGTTATCAACAATAACATAGGCATATCTTTTTCCTCCTAGACTTTAAACTTGCATAGGTTCGATCAAGTCCATATGAAGTAGCTCCAGAACTCTTGAAGTGGTCAGATGTTGAAGCTTATTATGTGACATCCTTTTTTGCTTCCCAATATGACACTCACCACATATTCTTCCTTCATCAATCTTTAGCTTGGGAATACCTCTAACAGCTTCCTTTGACAAGATTTTCTTCATACCTTTCAAGTGCAAATGACCAAGCTTTTTATGCCATAACTTAGCTTAATCTTCTAGTGACATTAGACAAGAAGAAAAACAAATTGTTTCTTGAGAACTCCACATATAGCAATTTTCTTTTGATCTTTCTCCCTTCTTGACAAATTCATTCTTCTCATTTGTAACTAGGCATTCGGATTCAGTAAAGTTAACTTTGAGACCTTGATCACACAATTGACAAATACTTATCAAGTTAGCAGTCATCCCCTTAACACTTTGATCATGACTTCCAGTCGACCTTCTTCAACACTTTGTTGAATTTTCTTCCAAGTAACACAATAACATTGGCTATCCCTTCTTTTGTATCCAAGTAACACTCATCTTTTGGATCATCAGTATTAGAGATAAAGGCCATGCTCTTCTTCTTTTCATATTTTTCAATGATCCCTAACTCAAAGATTTGTAGGGATCCCATAAGATCGTCAACCTTCACAATGATTATGTCTTGGGCTTCTTCAATGGAAGTCATCTTTATGTCAAACCTCTTTGGAAGAGATCTAAGAATTTTTCTCACCAACTTGGCTTCAGACATCTTCTCTCCTAGGGCACCTGAGGCATTGGCTATCTCAATACTATTCATGTGAAAGTCCTGAATACTCTCATCCTCCTTCATTCTTAAGTTCTCAAACTTGGTAAAAAGAATTTGAAGTCTTGACATATTTACCTTGGAGGTTCCTTCATGAGCAGTCTTCAAAATCTCCCAAGCTTCTTTGAAAATAATACAATTCCTTATCAGTCTGAATATGTTATTATCCATACCCATAGTCAAAGCATGATACATGCTATAATACCAATTGAAATTCTGGTATTCAGATCTCAGATGTCCTAAGAGATGGTGAGACATTGATATTTGAACATGCACACAATGACAAGGTATGATAAAAACAGTGCATAAAAATAAAGAGACTCGCAGAGTTATTAACCTAGTTCAGTGTACAGCAACACCTACTCCGGGGGCCACCAAGCTAGGGACGAAGTCAACTAGATAATATCAATTTGAAGACCCACAATAAACTTTCATCTATCTTACAATCTACTCACTTAATCACTACCCGTGCTTAACTTCTACCTAAGACTCACCTATGTATGAGACCATTCTCAAATCCCTTTCAATCACATCAGTGATTGAACAACTCTAAACAACTTAGAATAATTTTAAAAGACACACTTCAAAGACACACAATCATTCGCTACTTAAAAGCTTTAGAATGATTGACATAACTTACAACACAAAGAACAATCCTACTCTTTTATCAAGATGATATTAGAGAGACTCACAATAAACATGCACAAAATCCTATCAAAATACAACGTAAGTTCCACACTAAAATTAGGTTAGTGACAATCTATTTAAAGCACACATCTGGACTGAATTTGACTTCAAAAACGCAGTTGGATATGCAACTGAAGCTGCAGATTTATCTCCACAAAAATAGGACATCAATAGTTAATTTCTTAAATTATCTCCATAATTAGAAACTAAGAATAATCCTTGAATTCAACTTGAAACTCTTTATCCTTAAACTGAGTGCCACATAGGATATCATAATATTTCCAGAATATTTTGCATCTGTAACAACTAAAAACATCCAACTATCAAGTTGAACAAAGTCACGATGTCGAATAATTCAGCATATGACATCGCACTCGACATATTAAAACTGCATGTTAAGACATCTTGTTCAATTATGCTGTTGTCAAGTTAGTTTTACCAAAATTAATGTCAATCACAAGAACAAAGAAATAATTGTTGTAGAGTGAACATATTTGTCCAAACCGTAGAAACAAATATCATGTTCATTTTTTTGTAATTTGTGTACCTATTTTCTATTTTTTTTACTATTTTTTCGCTATCGCAATTGGTAGATGAGGATTAACTTTAGTGTAAAATTCAATGTGGCAAGGCTTGATTGTCCGCAAGTTGTTTTACAGACAAGATTCACCCAGGAAACCATAAAGCCATAGGCCAAGGCGTTGTGCATGACATGATAGGGAAGCAATTGATTTCTCTGCAAACCGAACCCTGAAGTTGGAGCCACTAACTTCACTTGACAACCAACTTGAAAATCTTTAGCAATTAAATCACCAGCCATGGCATAAATATAACTATGGCCTTTTATGGAGTGCGAATTGATGCAGGAAGATGTATCAACGTACTTGTGATTGTTTGTCACTTGATGGCTACAATTCAAGTAAACTATATGTTCAAAAAGAAGATCATCATCATTACCATAATTGTTTAGTGTTGCTTGGTATGGATCAGTGCAATATGTGTTGTCTTGATTAACATCATCAAAGAAATAAAATCGAGACAAGAAATTGATAGGAAGGGAAGAGCAATAATTTAGTTCAAGTCCGGGATCAACAAGTGTGATTGTGAAATTGTGGTAGTTGATGGACTGCACATGATACTTCCCGGAACACAAATACAAAGTCGTTACATCATTCTCACATGATAGCTCATACCTGCTGTCCCCGCAATGTTTTGGGTCATGTTTTTGTCGAAAAGGGTAACTTATGTTTGATATTTTGCCACAAGATGAAGCTCCACAACTATGTTCTTCCTCAATACTACTACTTTGTTGGAGTAGAACCCAAAACGACAACAACAACGCCCATATCACTCTTACCCACCACATAGGGGCAAAACAAAGGTAATCAAAGGTTGGAAACTTGTTGTGTTTCTATGTTCCCATTTGGCGACCGTATCATCAAAGCAACAACGATCTGCTCTATATGTATAATCCACAATCTCTTGCTATTTAAACTGTATAAATCTTACTTATATAATGTAATACATTTTGATTAAGAAAAATGTTTCACGGAAACACTTTTATTCAACATCCTCATGACCCCACTTGACATATAAAGTAATTAACTCAACAGATATATAATAAGAGCTTAAATTACACCATCATTTAATAAAATTATAATATTTAACTATTTTATATCAGTATTTTAAAATTATAAATGTAATTTAACAGAAAACATGCTTGTGAGAAATTGATGATTTTCATTAGAGTTGTAACCATCCAATCATTCAGTTTGACATCAACCATCACAATGTTTTGCTAAATGACTCTTTTATTCCAAAGATTTTGGATTTTGGTCTCACAAAATTATGTTTCAAGAATCTCAATATTGTGTCCACGACAGCAGTTAAGAAGACCTTTGGATACATGGCACTTAAAGTTCTATCGAGAAATTTCTGAAATGTGTCTTTAAAATCAGATATTTACAATTATGAAATATTGTTATTAGAAATGATGTGAGAAAGGAAGAATATAGAATAAGTACTACCAATATTAAATCCGGTACTTAATCAATTTAACTCAATTATTTCAAATAATAAAATCATTTATTTCTTAATATTTAATAAGTATTATTATTGATTTACAGCTTAAAATAGCACCCATTTGAAAATAGTTAGTTAATTAGTATATAATATTTAATTAGTATTTTTATCTATTAGAATTATCATTTTAAAATCTAGTATTAGTATCAAAAGACAATGAAAATATAAAAATACATTTATTATATTCTATTTTATTTAAATAAAATTTGTTAATTGTAAATTAAAAAACTTTTTTATTGTTATTAAATGTTTTTCTTTTTCATTCACTTATCTTTTAATATTAATCATTTATTACCGTGAAAAACTTTTTTAATTTCTTTTTTATACTTTTTTATCTTACAAACAATTATATCAGTTTATTAGTAGACTGTTTATTTTTATTTTTGACATATACTATTTATTTTCTCTACTTTAATACTTTTTTCTTCTCTCTAATAGAAAATAAAAGTTTAGTTGTCCTGTTTTTTTTTTTTCATATGCTAAAAGAAGCTACGATATTTTCCAGTTATGTACAATTTTTATTTAATCTAAAAATGTTTTTTATTATTTTTATTTTTATAATTATGAATCAATTTCTTGAATTCGAGTTTATACTACATGTGCATACCTTACAATCAAGTCACTCTATATAAAAAATTTTAGGCAACTAAATACTATTACTATTAATACAATTATTTTAAATTTATTATTGTAAGTTTTTCTGTAATTTTAATATATAAAAATAGTTTTATGCCGAAAACGGCTTAACAACAAATTTCATGAATATATATTTTCGATTTTTGCTACAATCTTATTTTTTTAAAAATATTTAACATTTATTACAATATATTAATTTGCGATTCTATATACAAAAAATAGTTACGTTGTGCACGATTAAATTTCGTGTAATCTGTGGGGGCATGTCAGGGAATCGTTAGGCATATCTTAATATTGTGTCCATCACAACGTCTAAGGGGACATTTGCATACTATTTTTTAAAATTATTTTTAGAATAAAAAGTGAAAAAAATTATTAAAAAAAACTATTTTTTAAAAATTTATTAATTAAAAATACGAAATTTAATATTTAAATATTTAAAAAATGATTTTTTAAATGATTTTTATAAATGAAAATAAAATTAATAACAATAAATAAAAAAATATAAAAAATGTTAAAAAGTGCACCATGAGAGATTTGAACTCGCAACCTTATATTTGCAAGCTTGTTTCCTTACCAATTATGTTATGTTACTTATTCAAAATAAAAAACCAATTGAAAGTACACGAAGACGAGCAAATATTTATTTATTCAAAAATACAAATGAGCTGATATAGATCATTATATTTTTAAATAGGTTTTGAAGCGAAATTTATTAAAACTCCATAATGTTAATATAATTAAACCAAAGGAGTTTTATACCTAGTAAAACCCAAGTTCGAAATAAATTTGACGATAGCACTAAAACGGACAAATTTGGTGTATGACAGCTGCCCCTATTTAATAACTCTTCGATTGAATGGCAAGAGAATGCATAGGTCTTGTTCATTCAAATCAGATATTTGTTAAATAATGGAAGACCTCAAAATTTGACCAATGGTTGGTTAGATAGGGTTACGCTGATATAGCATACCCCTAAGAGTTGGCTAGATAGGGTTACATTGATATAGCATACCCCCAAGAGTTGGCTAGATAGGGTTACACTGATATAGCATATCCCCAAGAGTCTTGAGAAAATAGGCAAAGCCGATGATGTATCGCTTACCAGGATTTGATGATGAGGCAGATGGTCTTGAGCTTGAGAGAGCAATCTTGCATGTTTTGGTTTGCTTTTGCTTATTCACCCATTTGGTGGATGAATACAACAATAATTGATGATGCATGGTTGTTTGAAGACTGAGGCCATGAGTTATGTTCGCGAATCATTGCATGACGTCTGAGGCGATGTGCTAGAGTTTTGTTTTCTTTCGAGCATCGCAGCATGAAATCTGAGGCGATGATCGGTGTTACAGAATAAAGAAACGCATTGCTGCATGAAGTCTTCGGTAATGAGTTTCCTCGATTTTCTCCATTGCTTTTTGTTGATAGGCCCTGGTTTGATATGGAGGCCAAAGAGGTGGAGATTTTCTTCTACCAATGGTTCAACTGGAGAGAGTTTTTTTGAAAAGTGAGTTTTAATATGATATGTAGGTGTTCGTGAATGCATGCGTGCGGACGAACGTGTATGAACATGAAATGGTTTCTTGTTTTAAATGTCTTATTCATCTAGGTACATGATTGCTTATTATTTTACTTGGTGACTATCTTTGAAATAGATACGCAAACGAGATGTAGAAACAAAATGCTTTTATTGAAGGCAACATAATTCAGATATTGAAAAATATTACAATCTTAAACCAAAACTTTATTTGCATGAAATCAAGCAAAGGGAAATAAGTCTTCTAGGTGCGCGCGCGGATATCTGCTCTTGAAATGATCCCCCATTGCTGGACAAAGCTTGAGAAGGTTTTTAGTATATTATTTCCCTTTTGTGACTTTGATTTCAGACATGTTTGTCGCATTGACGTGGACAAGTTGTTTCCTCCGGTATCCATTTTTAAAGACAGTCACCGAGATCTTGATTTTATTATTATTTTTGTACCCTGTGAATAAGACAAAGAAAAGGGTGACGAATATATGAAATGTATGACGACTATGTGAAATGCATGAGTGCATAGGTGTAGGGTTGAGTGACGGGGTTTTATGATAAGTACCCCTATAAGGTAGAGATGTATGGTTTAGTGACGGGGTTTTTGTGATAAGTATCCTTAGAAGATAGGTTCCTTAATTTTGACCTACGGTTGATCTACCCTCCCAGAAGGTGATTTCCTTAAGGGTATCATGAATAACACCAGAGGGAAAAGGCGCAAGGGCCTCCCTTATGTGGAGCCTCTTTACGGACCGAGACGTCTGACTCAAAGTCGTGAAAGGTCTCGTCATGAGATTTTAGGTTAAGTTCGTTACAAAGAGCCATGAGTGACCTTCCAAAGTCCTACTCGTCAAGAGGATATCTCTTGATAAGTATTTCTTTTTTGAAAGTTCATCGACTCTAGGCGAAGTCGTCACATAAAGTGCGCATGAAAATAAGCTGAAAATTATGCATAACCCAAAACAAAGAGGTTTCTGTCATTATTCCTCGTTATTCGAAAAATCATAACTTGCTCGATTTTTATCGTATCAGGGTGATTCTTTTGGAGTGACATCACAAATTTTGTCGGTAGCGTTTTTGTTTCAGTTTGTGCATTAGGATTCCACACCGAAAGTCATGAGCTTTTGGTTTGTTTGCACGCCATACACAAAATAAGCTGGAAAATTCTGCACTGTGAATATTTACACCGATTTCTCGTCTTTCACAGTATCATAACTTGCTCAATTTTTATCGTATCAGATCGATTCTTTTGGCACCACGTCACAAATTTTGTCATCAACATTTTTTGTTTCAAGTCGCACATCAGGATTTCGCACCGTATGTCTTGAGCTTGGGGTTCGATCTCGCACTGTTTACGAAATAAGCCGAAAATTCAAGTTTGGAGCCAATACTATATATTTCAAAATTCAAATTTCAAACACAACTACACTCATAATTCTTAATCTCACAAATCAAACACCAAATATCTCTTAATTTTATCTCACAAACCTCAAGAACATTCATCACAAACTCAACAAAAACTCAAGAGATTCAACTCCTCATCTCTCTCGAGTTCTCCGTGCAACCTTTCTCCTTGCATCGCCGGTCCGCTAGTCTCCGACCACTGCCTTGCCACGTGATTCCAGTGAATCTGAAGCTCCCTCCATCGCGCAACTTCCGAGGGTAATCTCCCTCTGTCTGTTGCATCTTCTGGCTCCTCCCTCTGTTTTTATTTTTCCGGCGATATCTCTTCTTCTCCGTTTGTGAGCTTGTTCACGAATTCTCTCTTCAATTCAAGTTCTTCGCATCAATTCGGTAAATCCTAGTTCTACATGAATTAAGTTGAGTTTGATGGTGTTTATTTGAACTTAATTGATTATTACTTGAATTGAGTTGAATTCTTGAATATGATTTGATATACTTGATTCTTGAATTTCAATGATGTTGGGATATGGAATTGGTTGATTGATGACTTAATCGATTTAGATCTTGAATTTAATCGATAGAATTAATGTTGATTTTAAATACCTAATTTTGGATCTAAATGTCAATTTGTTGAGTTTGATGAGAATTAATTGTGTTTTGATGAGAATGCAATTTTCGAATCGATTTGTTGATGAATTCAATTTTTTGACATAAAA